TGTATTTCCTGTGATTTTATCTTCCAAACATTAAGGAACATTTGTCTATTTCCAGTATTTGAGAAATTAGTCTATTTTTTTTTATGTTCATGGTTTTACCAACTCCAGTTATATCTGTAGTGTTTTCCCAAGTTAAATAGAACCCATTCTTTTTCTACTTTCATGTCAAAGTCTCTAACTCATTTTGTCTTATAAACCATCATTTGATTAAGTTTCTGAGATGTGCAAAGCATTATATATGTGCATTATTATATAAATTCATACAGAAGACTTCTCAAGCCACATCTGACCCATCTACACAGTTCTTTTACAGTTCCCTAGAGAAGCATTTGATCTTCCACTAGCCCACATAGCAGGTCTGAAGTTCAAAACCAATGTGATATGAGCCTCTGTGCCAGAGTGAATGTGTTGTATGCCACTGTTATCTTAGGGTAGAAAGTTGATAATCACTTTTTACTGAACAACATATGAATCTGAGTGGGTCTGGATTACAACGCTTGCTCCGCCACTCATTAACTTAATTGATTTCAGTCACTTAGTAACTTACAACTACTTACTCTTTCTGAGTTTGATCGTTCTCATCTGTAAAATGAAGGAAGGCCTCCCTCCTTTGGTTTTCGTGGGTATGAAATGACATAAAGTGTGCAAAGTACATGGCGTTTGATAACTACTCAATAAATAAGTAGTTCTTCCTATAGTTGGTGTTACTGATGAATCAAAATCCATCATCTTAGAGGTTAGTTGAGATTAGTTTCTCACTCAAAATTAGTCATTTTATTTTACAGTAATCCTTTCTAAGTAGTCACATAATATAAATTTGAAAGACAAAGTTTCTTTTTTTTTTTTAACCCTTAGGTACAAACTGCTTCATATTCTGGAATTTGACTCAGATCGTAGGAGAATGAGTGTTATTGTTCAGGCACCTTCAGGTAACCCATCTAAACTTCCATAAATTTTTATTTGTTTAATATCAAGAACTTGATAACTCAATTTTCTTTTTAGGTGAGAAGCTGTTATTTGCTAAAGGAGCTGAATCATCAATTCTCCCTAATTGTATAGGTGGAGAAATAGAAAAAACAAGAGTTCACGTAGATGAATTTGCTTTGGTGAGTGCAGATTTCTGTGATTTTAAAAGCTCATATGTATGTATGTATGTATATCATTCATATGTGTGAAAGATTCTGGCTTTTGTTTGTACAGTAATAATCAAAAGTTGTAGATGATTATAGAAATTCATCAGCTCTGTTTGGATTTCATATTCTTTATTAAAAATTGACTTTTAACATAAAATATAAGTAGTCATTTTTAGTCAGGGAACTTCTGGCTCTAAAATTACTTTATTATAAAGGGGGTTGCTAAAAGCAGATAGGGAAAGCCAAGGGAAGTAGAGAAAATGGAACCATCATACATTGCTGGTGGAATTATAAATAGTACAGCCACATTAGAAAATAGTTGCAGTTCCTCGTAGAATATAGAGTAATGTAGTTACTATATGACCCAGCAATTCTGCTCCTGGGTATTCACACTGAAGAGAATTAAAAGTCTCTGTTCTCACAAAAAATTTGTACACAAATGTTCTTAGTAGCCAAAAAATAGAAACACCCTAATACACATCAAGTGATGAATGGATTAAACTGTGTGTCATAGCCATAAAATGGAATGTTACTCAGCTGTTGAAAACAATAAGGTACTGATTATTGCTGCAACATTGGTGGACCTTGAAAAGATTAAGCTGAGTAAAAGAAGCTGATCACAAGTGGCCATACATTCCATTTATATGGAATATCCAGAATAAGTAAATTCAGAGGCAGAAATAAGGTGAGTGGTTGCCAGAGGCTAAGTAAAGGGAAGGAAAGCAGTATCTGTTAATGGACATCAAATTACATTTGGGATTGATTAAAAAAAGCTGTTGAATTTAAAGAAGTGAATTTTAAGATACATGAATTTTCTTTCTCATAATAAAGGAATGTAGAAAATCTTATCAAGTATCACAATTTATATGAACAAGAAAATTATTAAGCTGCTCGTTCTTAGTTCTAGACCTCGGGATAACTCATTTCTGCTTTCCTACAATTGTAGGCTCAGTGCCATCTCTGCTCATTTGCCTTCTTTACTTATGTATGATTTCATTTCTCCCATTATTTGTTTCCTAATTTGTTTATCTTATCTACCTAACTGAAATCTCTGTGAGAACATCTGCATTCCTCTACTTAATATCATTTTAATATTCATAAAAATAGTGGCATATAGTTGATAATAAATATTTTCTAGAATTAACTCATTTCATTTTTAATACATAATGATTTTTAAGACTTATTTATGAATACAAGCACTGGGGTACAGGTCAGAGGTGTGGGGGGGAGGGGGTTTGAGAGGATTCACCAGATACAAAGTGAGAAATAGAATAGGCAGATTGACCAAAATACACCACTGAGGGGAGCAGCAGGCAAGACAGGAGAGGTCTGCTGCGCCATGTGGGCCAGCTCCCTGGCTGGGGATTGAACTCATGCTTCAGTGGCTGCAGATAGCGTCATAGTACTACTCTTTAACCTCTTGCATCATCAGAGAGACCACATATGATGGCTCTTTAACTTAATTTAAGAGAAATAATTATGTTTGCATGTGGGAAATTTGTGAATCAAATTTTAGATATTTGCTAAGTATACTATTTTAAAGTCTACACTTCCTGGTTTTGTTAATAGAACATTTATTAGTGAGGTTTTTTGTTGTTGTTGTTGTTGTTTTAGGAAATGTAAGGAAAAGTAACTTTTATAAGCTTTTGTATTTAAATACCAAATTTCAGATATTGATACCACAGAAAAATATGAGTCCATTAAATCAGATACTCCAGTGTATATTTCTAAATTTTGTGTAATTTCATTTCACCAGCAAGATACAGTGATGCAATTTAAAATCATTCATTTATGGACTCTAGAAGTACTGTTTGCATGATATTGGACACCCAATAGATTTCTTTATTTGAATTGTGAATTTCACATACCTAAACCCTCAGGAAATTACAAAAGTGGGCTAAACGGCAGATAAAAGTGGGTTTGTAATGCCTAAAGGAGAGTGAAAACTAGGACTTGTCTCTCCCTTGCCAATCCTGAAGATACTGTAATAAAATTTTCTGACTTTCCAGGTAAAACAGTGAAACTACAAATTGGATAATCTTTATGATCCTTTCTAGGCTCCATATTATTTGTAGTTGAACTTTGGTAATGGGGTCTTAAGTTTCTTTAGGTGAACTCTTGATTTCTTGCTACTTAATTTTGTCTTTAATTTTTCTGTTTTAGAAAGGATTAAGAACTCTGTGTATGGCCTATAGACAATTTACTTCTAAAGAGTATGAGGAAATAGACAGACGCTTATTTGAAGCCAGGACTGCCTTGCAGCAAAGGGAAGAGAAATTGGCAAGTGTCTTCCAGTTCATAGAGAAAGACTTGATACTACTTGGAGCTACAGCAGTAGAAGACAGGTAAGTATCAGATAAATCGGCAGTAACATTTTTCTCTGGTAAGACTTTTTGTAACCAAGTGTTCCTAATGTATGACATTAATCCCATTTATTGATATCCTATAACTTAATTATTTAAAATCAAAGCATTAAAATCTTCATTTTTCCCAGTCTATACAGTTTTTCTCTAGCCAAATAGTTAAAATAGATGAAATAAGCCAGGGCTATCATTTTGCCTTTAGGCTTGAGTTTTTTAGAATGCACCTCATTGTGCCATATGCTTAATTCTCACTGTTCCTCACACCGCTGCCCTTTTCTACTTTATAGGTCACCCGAACCAAACTCTTTAGCTTCCTTCTGAACAACTTTAGTTAAATAGTATCTCTGCTTTTGTTCCTTGGCAGGGCTGTGCTTTCTGATTTGATCATTCTTCCCATATCTGTTGTGAATATCCATAAAGTACAGTTCACAGATTATCCACACTCCAATAAGATCTTTCCCAACTCCCTAACAAGATTAAAAACTCTCTTTGTGAAATCTCAGTATTTTGTAATAGTTTTATTGTTGTCCTGTGGCAATCTATTACTATTTGTAAAAGATATTCTTTCTTAATCTGCAGATTCCTTTATGTCTATTTATTCTTTGTCTTTGTTCTCTCTTGAATTAAATTGATTCCACAAATTATGCCTTTTTGGTTTTTCTCTACCACCTAGATTTACGTTTTCTTGCATTTCTTTGATCTAGGTTTTGATTTACTTTTCATTGTTCACATGAGATTACTGAGTTGTGCTTGAGGTTATGTAGTATTTATTGTCTACAGTTTTAAACTATTGACAGGAGAGAATTTTTTTTTTTTTTTTAAGATTTATTTATTTATTCATACAGAACTGGGGTAAAGGCCAAAGGCTCAGGGACGGTGAGAGGCTTCACCAGAGACAGAGTGGGGAGCAGAACAGGCAGATTGACGAAGTACACTGCTGAGGGGAGCAGCGGGCGGGCCAGGAGACGTCTGGCTCGCCATGTGGTCCCCATGTGGTCTCCTCCGGGGCAGGCGGCAGGCGGGAATCGAACTCATGCGGAAGTGGCTTCAGATTCTCAGTGCTGCGCTCTAACCCGCTGCGCCACCAGGGAGGGCCTGGGAGAGAATTTTTTAACAAAAAAGTTAAAAATCTCCCCATTTGAAATTTAAGAGTTTTTAATAAGGTAGGAATTTATGAGCACAGTATACTTAGTTTGCTTCTACAAAAATCAACTTTGAAGATGTACTCCTAAAATAATAAAGTCATAGATTTTATGGTAACCAGATGATTATGAATTTGGTTATTTCTGTTTCTTTCCCCAATAGGCAAACATTTTAGTTGTATATTACTATATTGTGACAGTCTTACATTACCTTTTACTATAATTTACACTTAATATGTAATCAAAAAAAAATCTCTACTTCTAATTTTGTTTCTTTTGTTTTCAGACTACAAGATAAAGTTAGAGAAACTATTGAAGCATTGAGAATGGCTGGTATCAAAGTGTGGGTGCTTACTGGAGATAAACATGAAACTGCTGTTAGTGTGAGTTTATCATGTGGACATTTTCACAGAACCATGAACATCCTTGAACTTATAAATCAGAAATCAGACAGTGAATGTGCTGAACAACTGAGGCAGCTTGCCAGAAGGTAAAACATAGTTTCTGGATAATGATTTTCCGGGGTCATCACACTACAGCCAGTGTACCAAATATGGCCCACCATGTGTTTTTTACAGTCCATGAGCACTCAGTTTGTTTTTTTTTTTAAGATTTATTATTTGTTCATACAGAACTGGGGTACAGGCCAGAGGTTCAGGGGCGGCAAGAGGCTTCACCAGAGACAGAGTGGGGAGCAGAACAGGCAGATCGAGGAAGTACACTGCTGAGGGGAGCAGTGGGCGGGTCAGGAAAGGTCTGCCACACCATGTCGTCACCTCTGGGGCAGGCGGGAATCGAACTCATGCGGAAGCAGCTTTAGATTCTCAGTGCTGTGCTTTAACCCGCTGCGCCACCGGGGAGGGCCCGAGCACTCAGTATTTTTTATTTTTTATGGTGGATGAAAAAGAATGTAAGAATGGAAAAGAATATGAAGTGAATGTCATATGAAATTCAGATTTCATTGTGAATTAAGTGTTATTACTGCTATATTTGTTCATTTACCTATCATCATTGAAGGCTTTTGTGCTACACTAACAGTAGAGGAATTGCGACTGAATTTATGAAGCACCTTTATCATTTCTCATTGTTCCTTGACATATTGCAAATTAGAGTGAGGGTTACAGCTTGCTAGTGTTTTGAGTATTAACCAACTGCCACATGACTAAAATGTATTTTATTGTAGTGTTTACCCAGCATATCCAATCAAGAAAAGTGAACTTTTAATATTACACTTTTAAGCCACAATAGAATGCCAGTTATCAAATGAGAAAATAAAGTTTTGTTTTGTTTTTTTTTTTTTGTCGGGGACTCTTTGTTCCCCAATCACGGATTATGGGGGGGGGGGACAAGAACAGGCAGGGTCTCAAGGTGGGAGTGAAGTTAGCGAGGTGATATTCTAAAAATTGGGGAGTAAGGGGGAGCGGGAGTGAGGAAGACATTCGAATCAAAGTTGGGTGCAAGTCTTCCTGTTCTGCCTTTTGCAGAAGTTTATTTTATACATTAGGAGCAAGCAGTGGGATGACATCAGCACATGAACTGGGCTGAGAGATTACAATCATCTTTTTTTAAGAATAGTCTGGGGCCGTTTTAACCTTTACTTGAGATTATAACATTCTAAAATCAATCAAGGTTAAAAACAGGTACATAGGTGCACAAAGTTTATGACTAATATTAACTATAGGGATCAAGTAAGATAAAAGTCCCTTAAACCTTATCTACTACTTAATGGGTTTTTGTTTTTCTACCTGAGACATCCTAGGAGGCAGGAAGAGGAAATTCCTTGCAAATCAAATCTCTGAATAGGAGACATAGGTGAATTTCCTTATCTAAAGACCTGCAAAGACTAGCCAGAAGACTTTTGTGGATTCCTTTGAGATGTAGCAGATAGAAAACCTGACTAGTTTCAAAACAGGCAACCTGGATGAATTTCCACATCTAAAAACCAGACAATAGGAAGTTTGAGTAATTCTTTAGAAGCTGAAAAGAAGACTAGGTAGATAATAGAATGATAAGATTTAGGTTTTCCTCCATCCAGCAGTGAGAGAGACTTTGCAAAAACAGCCCTTTTGCTTTTATTTATCAGCCGGCAGTCAAGTCATTTGACTTCAGAGGAATTTCTCACCCTGGTGCAGTGCTTGCTTGTCAGGGCAGGCAGGCCTTATGCGGCTGAGACAATCCAATGGTAAGCTGAAAGTTGCTCAGAATATTTTGATATTACGATTATACAAAAAAGGGAGGTTATAACGTAAGTTAGCAGTGGAAAGTCTGATTTTTCAGAGTTTTTCCCGATCTACCCGGAATCTGTCAGACGATAGATGTTGCATAGCTTGTGTCAGTTTTTGTTGAATGATACTTTAATGCACTTTCTGTTTGAAATTACATATTCACAAATGACATAAAATTTCAGTTGCAGGCAGTTCTAAATATTGTATTAAAATGCAAAATATCAATTCAGAAAAAAATTAATAACTGGGTATTTGCAGTTGATTTTGATTGATGATAGGGAGCATTAACTTTCTACCTTAATTGAATATAATATTATTTGCCTCCCCCCAAAAAGATTTATTTTTCTCATCAGTAGAAGTCTATAATTTAAAAAACATATGTAAATATTACTATTATTACATAGTTTTACTTAATAAAAATTTTGACCAAATTTTATTAAATCAAATTTTATTAAATCAGAAGTTTTAATAAAACTTTCATCAAAGTTTGTTTCCTCTTTTATGTGTACCTTGGTCCACACACCTCAAATTTAAATACTTATTTCTAACCTTTTATAGAAGTCATTTGCCAACCCCTGATCTGTTTTTCATAGTCAAGGAAAATTCATCTGCCTTTTACTGTACAAAGATTTAATTACTTTATTTATATAGTGTATTCATACACTATATTCATTTTTTCTAAATACATATTTTATCTGCAGATTGACTTTATTTAGTAGCCCTCACTTAACACAGTATAATTTTCACAATAAATTGCAAGTGTAAGGATTAGATGATCTTTTTAGTGGATTATATTTTCTAAGATAGCCATATAAGTCAATAGAATTATTTACCAACTTTTAGAAAGTATCTATTCTAAAAATCTTGGTTAGAATGAAGAATTACATACCTTTTTTAAAAAATACCTTCTAAAACTTTACCCCTTCTTTTATAAACATGTTTTGATTGTCTCCTGTGTAGGCATTTGGAACACAGTCCTATGAGTTGTTTATTCTCAAAATACTTACAGTTTATAGGATAAGCAGAAATAAATATATTATCATAGAACTATCACAGATAAGAATATTGTCATAGGCTTATCACAACTGAATTGTAATTGATGCAAGAACAGAAAGCTGTAGATGGACTGAGGAACAATTAGCCTAGCACTGTGAAAGAACTCATGAGTGTGGAGTTGAAATAACTAATCAGAGATGAAATAACTAATCAGAGAGTAACACTGAGAAGCAAAGAGAACAATTCCCAAAGCTGAGAGAGGGTTATTCAAAGGATTGAGAGTGTGAGATGTTATACTATGATTAGAGAATGGGATAAATAGGAGAGGGTACGGACAGTATTGACATGAGGTACAGAGATGACAGAGGTTACCGACTATATGCCAGAACTCTGAGGTGCTTTTCCATGTTTCATAAATATTATCCCACGAGTTGTAAGATAATATGGAAATTTATGAAGCCTCTCCAGAAGAAAACATGATTTAGTGTGTCTTAGGAGGCTTCCATAGAAAAACTGATCATGACCTCTCCCATTCTTGACTATGACCCCTTCTTATTATTATTAGGCATACAATTTAAAACAGAAGACATTGGCGAAAACACAGGCTGATAAGCAAAGTTGGACCAGTAAGGAAGAAAAAACCATTTCAGATATTGGAGCATTATTTAAAAAAAAAAAAAAAAAGGCCTTTTTTAAAGTTTGTTATAAAAGTCAATTGATTATCACTTATTATTTATAATATGATATAATGGTGATTAGGCATACTGTAAAAGGCATCACTTTAACTTTTCATTTAAAAATAGAAATCACAGGGCCTCCCCAGTGGCACAAGGGATTAAAACACAGCACTATGAAGCTGTCCACAGCCACTGCAGAATGAGTTGGATCCCCAGCCAGGGAGGTGACCCACATAGAGCAATAGACCTCTCCTGTCTCACCCCTGCTCTCATCAGCAGTGTATTTCAGTCAATCTTCCTGTTCTGCTCTCCACTCTGGCTCTGGTGAATTCTCTCACCCATTGTACCTCTGGCCTGTACCCCCGTTCTGTATGCAAAAATAAATAAATCTTTAAAAAATAAAAATAGAAATCACAGCCACTATGGGAAACAGCATGAAAATTTCTCAAAAGATTTTTAAAAAGAACTACCATGTAATCCAGCAATTCCACTTCTGAGTATATAATCAAAGGAAATGGAATCACTAAGAGATGTCTACATCTCCTGTGTTCATTACAAAATTATTTACAATAATTTAAGACATAAGCTAGTGTCCTTTAATGGATAATTGAATAAAAAAAAGTGACACAAACACACACACTGGAATATTATTCTTCCATTAAAAAAAGAGGGAAATTTTGCCTTTTGCAACAACATGGATGAATCTTTAAGGCTTTATGCTAAGTGAAATAAGTCTATTAGAGAAAGATTACTTATATGTGCCAGGCCCTGGGGTGTGAAGGAATGGAAGATGTTGGTCAAAAGATACAAACTAATAGCTTATTCTTAACTAATTTGTTATGAATAAGTTTTGGAGAGCTAATGAAACATCATGGTGCTAGAATTAACAATACTATATTACATATTTGAAAGTTAAGAGTAGAATTTCAGGACCCTCCCTGGTGGTGCAACAAGTTAAATTGCAGCTGCAGCCACTTCAGCACTAGTTCAATCCCTGAACACATGACACACAGCAGACCTCTCCTGTCTTGCCTGCTGCTGCCCTCAGCTGTGTATTTAAGTAAATTTTCCTGTTCTTCTTCCCACCCTGTCTCTGGTAAAACCTCTCACCACCCCTGTACTTCTGGCCTGTGTCCCAGTTTTGTATAGATAAATATATCTTTAAAAGAAAAAAGTAGATTTTCTGTGCTATTACTACAAAAAATTGGTAGTTACATGAGAGATGAGGTGTTACAGTGTTAATCATCTTGCATTATATATGTTGCACACCTTAAACTTATATAACTTAGAAGTCAATAATAAGACTAGGGAGAAAAGTTAAAATGGAGGGTTGTTTTTCAGTAGCAGTCCCTGCTATACTGTGAACACAGTGGTGAACTATATAGTATTTTCCTTGAGGTAGATAAGCACAGTGCCACTTTGAGTGCTGGCCTTCAACAAAATAAGGGAACTTGCAAAGTAACAGAATCTGAGCACTGCTTCTTTCATTTTAACGGCCTATTACTAAAGGGGGAGTGAGAAGAAATAGTTAAACAGACTTGAAAATTACTCAGACAGCATGCACCTACATACAAGTCCATGTTCTACCATAATGATATCTAGGATTGCAGTTCATTGCAGAGGTTACTATAAAGAATGTTTGCTTCAAGAATGTTTGCTTCATTCCTTCCTTTCCTCCTTATATACATATAAAAAGGTCACAAATTTTCCTGAATATTTTTTATCTTAATTATTTTATTTAAGAGAATTTGCTAAATATGTTTTTTTTTATTTTTATAAAACTGTTATAATTGAGAGACTATTTGAGAATATTTGTTATGATTTGAGAGAATATCTTCAGATTATCACACTTTTTAAAATACAGTAATTGTAACTATGTATGTAAAATTGAACATCTTGTTTTACTAATTGTGCCAGTGACTCAATTCTGCTTAATATTAACTTCTAGGTAATACAACCCACTTTGTTCCCTAACATACTGGTTTCTGAACCGTAAAGTCTGGGTGAATGGTCTCTTGATTAGAATCTTTGTTTATTACATGAGTATAAATAATATGGCTTAATAGTATCTTACCAAGTATTACAATTATTTTGTGTTTTAGAATTACAGAGGATCATGTGATTCAGCATGGTTTGGTGGTAGATGGGACCAGTCTATCTCTTGCACTCAGGGAGCATGAAAAACTGTTTATGGAAGTTTGCAGAAATTGTTCAGCTGTATTATGCTGTCGTATGGCACCACTGCAGAAAGCAAAGGTATGTGGGTGTAACTGAGGTAAGTAAGACCATTTGATACTTTTCTTTTCCTTTCTGGCTTCTTTCACTGAGCAGGATCCCTTCCAGCTATATCCATGTTGCTGCGAAGGGCATGAATTTATCCTTTCTGATTGCTGAGTAATATTTCATTATGTAAATATAGCACATCTTCTTCATCAAGTCATTTATTTTTGGGCATTTGGGTTGTCTCCATAGCTTACCTGTTGGAAATTGTGCTTCAGTAAACATAGTGGTACAGGTGTCCTTTTAAATTAATGGTTTTGTGTCCTTTGAGTAGATACCTAGGAGAAGAATTGTTGGATCTTATGGAAGCTCCATTTTTAGTAGTTTTTTGGAACATGTAGGTGTTATAAATATTTCCATAAACATATTTCAATCTTAATGTAGTCTTTAAAGTTAATGCTTACCTACTTCCATTTGGTAGTATGCAATATATGAATCTTACCAGGAGTCAGTCACTTCTCATACTACAAAGTTTAAGCCTGTACTTACAGCTTTGGAATTTTCAGAGTGAATATTAAAGTTTCAGCTATTGATAATGATTTAGAAAATCTATGATGGGTAGTAGTTTGTGATTTCGCTAAGACATAAATTTGAATATGATGCCTAATGTTTCACAATTTAATGAGCATTTTAAAAATTCTGGTAGAATTTATATCTGTAACATTCAGGTAGATTTATATTTATGGAATCTTTTATTCTTATGAAGTAATCTGTTTGTTAAAAATGGTATTAAGTGAAAATACAGAACCTTGGTAAAAGCTGAAAATTTGTGAAATGAGGCTATATACAGGAAATACTTAAAATTCCACTATCATGCAAAGCCTAGACAAGTTTTTTTTTTGTTGTTTTGTTTTTAAAGATTTATTTGTGCATACAGAATGAGGTACAGGCCAGAGGCTCAGGGGCGGTGAGAGGCTTCACCAGAGACAGAATTGGGAACAACAGAACAGGCAGATTGAGGAAGTACACTGCTGAGGGGAGCAGCGGGTGGGTCAGGAGAGGTCTGCCACACCATGTGGTCACCTCCGGGGCAGGTGGGTATCGAACTCATGCGGAAGCAGCTCCAGATTCTCAGTGCTGTGCTTTAACCCACTGCGCCACCAGGGAGGGCCGACAAGTTTTTTTAATAAGTCTGTGTTTTTGTAATTTTGGATCTTGAATTGTATCTTTCACAAATACCCTTGGAAATGATATCTATATGCTGTTCCACATGCAGCTATAATAAACTAGATGTGTAATATTTTGGCTTCCTGGAACTTTGTTACAATGTTTATAGTACTGTAATTCATGTACATTAATCTATGAAGACTGACATTCAGGCTAAACAGGACTAATGGTATAACAGGTTCCGTATGAAGAAAGTTTGACAATTCCAAAGAAACCCTTATTTTGATTGTATCGTATTTAATCTTTACTGCTCTTTTACATTTTTTAAATTACAAGGAAAAAATACTCTTTTCCTGTTTTATCAAACAAAAATTTCTTGAGAAAGAAAAAGTTTTGCCTGACAAAGTTCAATTAAGTACAATTGTTTTTCTCTTGACATGATTAAAATTTTTACAGATATAAGCTGTATATAAGATTCTGCTTCCCATAATAAATTCCAAAGTTTATACTCTGTTTTGCTTTGTCATTTCACACATTCCTTATAATCCCTCAAGAAACGATCCCAGTGCATATTATTATCTACATTAGTCTACTGTTCTCACAATTATTTCATATAACTGACTTTATATAAATACAAGGAAATTGAAATTTCATAAATGTTTGTCTTTCAGGTCATAAGACTGATAAAAATTTCACCTGAAAAACCTATAACATTGGCTGTTGGTGATGGTGCTAATGACGTGAGCATGATACAAGAAGCACATGTTGGCATAGGTGATTTTTTTTTTTCCTGAACTAAAGTTGATATTTGCTGATTTTGAATTTTCATTTTGTGGACTCAAGTGCCATATTAAGTGTGAATGAAAACTAATTGCAAAATGATGTTCACACTGTATCCCCATCAATGGTTCTATTGTACCCTTATGGTTTTAAAATTTTGTTTTAGAATATTATTACTTATCCATGTAAAGAGTCTGCCTCTCATATTAAGGACAATTTTATAGACAGGAAATTATACCAAACTACAATATAAACATAGATATAAATTTCACAGTTTTTTTAATTTAATAATTTTATTACAATTTCTGTTTTTGTCTAAAATTGTCATTCAGAACTCTCATTTTAGTACATTAAAATTATCCATCATTTCCTTTCTAAGCCATATTCAGACCTGTCTTCACAGATATATATATAGCTGTCAGAGAGAAAAGTATGAGTTTCTATTGATGGGTAAAATTTTGAATTTCAAACAGAATTAGGCAGTTCCTGTTCTGGAATCACTTTTATAGATTCTTTTAATGAATAGCTGTTGGGTCTAATGTTCCAGTGTATCTCTCTAGTGAACTGCTTTGCTCTTTAGGATGATTAACTCTTCATTTGAAACCTAATTTTCTTTCTAGTTTGTAATCTGTTGTGTCTCCATAACAACTTGATGTTGACATAATTATAGCATAAAAGACTAGAGTTTAATTCTTGTGTGACAAAAGCTAGACCCATGAATTAAAATAGTCAAGCATCTAGAAATTTAGTATATAACAAAGATTGAGAGAAACAAGCTATTTATTATAAAATATTGATATAAGTTAGTTACTTGGGGTTGAAAAAAAAAAAAGCTGAGTACATTCCATTGCTTACAGCAAAACTATTTCCAGATGGATAATGATTTAAATAAGTTTTAAAGATCATAAAAGGAAATTTTAACAAATATACTGTAATAAGAGGCTTAAAGGGAACTACAAAGATCAATTTGTTTCTTCTAGAAACAAATTTTAAAGACAGACTAGCAAAGAATATTTACAAAGTGGGTGATACCTAATATGTGAGACCTGAACAATTAAGGTGAATAAGAAAATATTTGCAAGGATATGAGCCGTCAGTTGCCATAGAAGGGTAAATCTATAATATATACTAAATACATGAAAAAGTTTTCAGTCTCAAAAATAATCAAAGCAATAAGAGCAAAAATTGCCTGTCAGATTGGCAGAAATTACAAAGATAGATGAAACCTAGAATTGGCAAAGATATAACAGATGCTCTTATACCACATTAGTGGGAATGTGGTTTGATTTAATGAAAATTTTGATGTGCACCTATTTACTTAGTAATTAGGGATCCAGAAATTTCTTTTAAGAAAATAAACAATTACGTTGATAAAGATATATATTATAAACAATGTTCATAATATATTAAAGTGACAGAAGCAGATTATAAAATAAATAACCTCATGTTTATATACATGTGTTATATAAATATAAAGTATACAAAGTTCTAGAAGTTATATACTTTTAGACCACCACCAAAAATGGTATTTTTCATTAGGTATTAATAATTATCTTTACCTGTAAATTTTGGAGTATTTCCTTTATGACAAAATTGAAAATTTAAAGATAAAATAAAAAATTTTTGAAAGCTTCCTCCAAGGAAAAAAAAAATCTGACACATAAGTCTTCTACAATGAAAAGGTTACCTTCACCTAAAATAAAATAATCACTTATCAAGTAAAATTATGTGCTAATTTCATATGATATTGCACACGTTTAGACACATTCTGTTTGACTTAAGCATGAAAGTTTTAAAACCAGTAAATAATCTCATTTTTCCCAATTTCATACCACTCAACTTGAAAATTTTATCTTCATTAAAATTATTTTTAAAAACTGTTTTAGAGTATCTTTTAGTGCTTTGTGCCTATTTGTGTAAAAATTAACGTTCTTACTTAGATCTTGAACTCTGAATGTTTTTATATTAATAGTATTTTATTTCATGATATTCTAATTCTTTGTCAATTGTTGCTACATGACAGGTATATAGTGTAGCTTTGTATTAATTACATATTTAATTTTAGTAAAACAATATTTAGGAGTCTTCTCTCCACTGTATGTTAGGATATACAGTGATCCTAAGATATATGCAGCTATATCATGAAACTCACACTAGTTATCATGTAATTTGCCTTTTTGTCCCCTTTATTACAGGAATCATGGGTAAAGAAGGAAGACAAGCTGCAAGAAACAGTGACTATGCAATAGCTAGGTTTAAATTTCTCTCCAAATTGCTTTTTGTTCATGGTCATTTTTATTATATTAGAATATCTACCCTTGTACAGTATTTTTTTTATAAGGTGAGTTCATGGCTGTATCTCACTTTATGAAGTTTTTTCCTCTTTTCAAAAACATTTTTAATTTTAACATGCTTCAAAATCTATGCCTTAAGTTTTATTAATGAAGCATTGCAATATAACATTATATAGGTTTCAGGTATGCATCATTATAAATCAATACCTGTATACATGGAGTGTTTTATAATTAATTACTAAAAGTAATTTGTGGTTTCAATTTCAAGGTATGCTATTCTTACACAAATTATTCTCAAAAATTATTTCTACAAGTAAAAATAACAGGTATTTTTTGTTTTTTGGTCACAAAGCTAATATGTACTAATAGAAAATACATCACTAGTTGCCTGGAATCAAGAGTATACAGGTGATAGAATTCACTAGAAAGGGATATAAAAGAACTGTTTGTTGTGCTGAAGTTCTCTATGGTGGTGGTTATACAGGTGTATAACTTGTAAAAACATCAAAATTTGCACTTAAAATTAGTTTTTTTCATTGTATTTTTCTTATTGGTATAACACTGGTTTATAGCACTGTACATGACTCAGCAGTATAAGCTCATACCTCTTCAAATGTATGTTACCATACCACACATACCACCAAAGTACCCACAATTCTCTACCACACTCCTTGAACCCCTTCCCTTCTTTATTTCCCATACCTCACCCTGCCCCAGATAACCTCAATTCTAAGTCTGGTTTATAGGTTTGTTTTGGTTAGTTTTGTCTGTTCTTTGTTTTGTTCTCTATGTCTTACATATAAGTGAAATCATCTAGTGTTTTGTCTGTCTCCTTCTACTTTGTTTTACTTATAATCCTCTCTAGTGCCTTCTATGTTGTTGCAAATGGCAAGATCTCATCTCTTGCTATAGTTCAACAGATCCCATTGTGTGTGTAACACATCTTAATCCACACATCTATCCTTGGACACATAGGTTGTTTCCATGGCCTATTGGTAGTTATTGTATCTAGTGCTACAGTGTAGCATAAGAGAATACATGTATGACTTCAAGTTAGTGTTTTTGCATTCTGTCAGTAGATTCTTAGCAGTGTAATTGCTGTATCTTACGTAGATCTATTTATTCTTAATGTCTCAAGAATCCTTCCTTCTGTTTTCCATACCAACAGTGTACAAATGTACCTTTTTGTACATTCTTCCTCACTAGTACTTACTATTTTTGGTCTTTTTGATATGGATCATTCTCACTGATTTGAGGTGGCATCTCATTATCATTATTTTGCATTTCCATGATGATGAACATTTTTTCATGTGCTGTAGCCATCTGTTTGTCTTTTTTTTTTTTTTTTTTTTTTTACTGTGGTAACATTGGCTTACATTGTTGTTTGTGTTTTAGAAATATAGTTCCCTTCAGGTGTTGTTAGTGTATTGCACCCACCATCTAATTAGCTCTCCTGCCAATTTTTTTTAGTCTTTTTTTTTTAACCTTTATTTATTTATGCATACAGAGCTGGGGTACAGGCCAGAGATAGAGTGGGGAGCAGAATAGGCCAACTGACAAAGTACACTGCTAAGGGGAGCAGCGGGCGGGTCAGGAGGGGTCTGCTGAGCCATGTGGGTCACCTCCGGGCCTGGGGATCGAACTCATGCTGAAATAGCTTTAGCTTCTTAGTGCTGTTCTTTAACCCTCTGTGCCACCAGGAAGGGCTCTGCCAATTTTTTTTATTGGGTTGTTTTTGTTAAATTTTATGAGTTCTTTGTAGATCTTACATATTAGCTTCTTGTCAGATATATGCTATACAGATACATTCTATTTGTTAGACTACTTACTCGTTTTAATGATAGTTTCTTTTGCTCTGCAAAAGCTTTAAACTTTGGATACTCATCTCCAACAAGGAAGGGGGAAAGAGCATAGGCCCATCAAGGGGGCAACATCAAAAATGATACATTTTATTCTGCACAAAGTAGCACACACTTTGATATCTTCAATGTTATTTTTATCTTGAACCAGGAGTTAATTTAACTCCAAGGTGATAGTTTTTTTTGTTTTGTTTTGTTTTGTTTTTTTAAGATTTATTTATTTGTGCATACAGAACTGGGGTACAGGCCAGAAGCTCAGGGGCGGTGAGAGGCTTCACCAGAGACAGAGTAGGGAGCAGAACAGGCAGATTGACGAAGTACACTGGTGAGGGGAGCAGCGGGTGGGTCAGGAGAGGTCTGCCACACCATGTGGTCACCTCCGGGGCAGGCGGGAATCGAACTCATGAGGAAGTGGCTTTAGATTCTCAGTGCTGTGCTTTAACCCGCTGCGCCACCAGGGAGGGCCAGTGATAGTTTATTTTTAATGCCATCAGTGACCTTTGGTAGTCTAGTGAGATACATAAACTACTTAGTTTAGGTGTACTGGATACATAAAATGAAATACATAAAATTATAAGAATACTATGGGAAATACCATTCTCTTTTTGACCCTCTTGGGCCACATGAAGGTTACATGAAAATGTTGAGAGTTGTGCTTCTGGCATGGGAAGCAGGAGAATTGGGCAGACAGAGGCTATATTAGGGAAGTTGAGGGTCTGTGCAACCTCAGTATGAAGAAGTCCTATTACCAAGACATTAATACTCCATTGCATCCTGTATTGCCTATATTACTACAATTAAGAAGTAGTGGAGAGCAATGAAAGAACATAGTAGGTTGCATATTGCTAGTGGCATTTTTTTCTAGCTTTTTCTGTGACATGAGAATATGGAAATAGAAAGATATTTTGATGGTTCCACTTATTATTAAATGTTTTTGCATTTTAAAGCTGTTATAAAGCCCATAATTGGCTAAATTTTAAGTAAATCTTACATATTGCATTATACATTGAAAGTATTGAATAATAGTCAGAAATTTAATTCAAATTGTGGTGTTGCTTGCCATTGATAGCATCAAGAGTATCTTAACTCTGACATTTTCATTGTATAAAATACTTTTAGACATTTTTTAATAAAATGGGATAAATTCTTACAGGCAGATGTACTTAACCATATCAACTTGAGATTGCATTTAGATTTTTTTAATAGTTAATCTTAAGAATTGTCCTTCCCAGTATTTTAATTATTTCTATATAATTTTGTTTTTCAGAATGTGTGCTTTATCACACCCCAATTTTTATATCAGTTCTACTGTTTGTTTTCTCAACAAGTAAGTAAATGGAATTTTGTCTTACTGTTTTAGAGTTGTGGTTCAAATTTTGGTTAACACTTAAAAGTTTTTTTTCTATTTTTCGTAATCCTGCATATCACAAGACAAACATCTCTAGTGAGTATTTAATCAATACAACAATCTTAACATTTACTCTGATTTTCAGTTGAACTGAGTGTTAATATCAAAATATATTTAATTCTTAATTCCTTTTAGAAACTAGTAACATAACAGTTTATGAAAGAATGTTGCTACTTTCAACTTATCTATAATATACTTATAAGGTCCAGGCCAGTAACTATAAGGAGAGTGTATTATTTTTTTTTCTGACTCAGGATTTTGTTAAATTAGAAGGAACTTTAGTGATTGAGTTTAGGGGTGACTTATAGATTTCACCTCATAAGATAGAGGACATCTATAGTGCTACATTGGAAAAGGTTCTGAAGCTATAGGCTCAGAGGGGGAAAAACCATAATTGGCTCGCAGTAACTGTAATGAGCTCTTGTTAGGTCTTTGGTGGTACACGTTAGAAATTTTGTTCTGCACTTCTCTGTCTTGTTTTGTAGACAAGGAAATTGAGTCCACAGAGATTTAGTCACTTGACAGAGGTGCTTAATTATCTTTGATTTTTTTCATTAGTTATTTCTATACCTTATAATCTTTCTTCCTCTGTTTATAATCTATACCTCTAAATCCAGTAACAATATTTGTTTACTTGAATAAAATAAAGAATATTAATGTTGTAAGAGCCTATAACAGAGAGTACTAATTTGCTTAGTTAGACTTTCAGAGGGTTTGTAATATAATTTGAGAGATTATACTAGTAACAATAAAACAAGATATGAAGTATAAACAAAGGAATAAGCAATTAGTGTCAACTTCAGTATAGGACTTTAAGAAGAGGAAGCTGTCATTAAGGAATTAAGCCAGTGTGTAAAGTTTCATGGGTCATGCTTTAAAAAACTTGTAGAGACTTTGATGGGAAGATAAAACTATGAAAGCAAAAATATTTATGTAGCATATTAAGGAATAGTAAAAACCTAGTACACGTGAGAGAATCATATAAGATTATGGTGACCAAATTGTGAAAAATATAGAAATGCAGGTGCAATTTGCTGTAATACCAGAATCATTTGACATGACAAAATGTGTCAGTTCCCCCAAAGAATATAAATCTAAGAACATTGTATTTATGTCTACATAAGAAACAACTTGAAATTTTTAAAATAGATTTTGTATAAATTGAAAAACTAGAATTCATATGCTTGTGTTTAATATGCTTCTTTTGATTAGATGTAGAAGTATAGATAGCAGTAATACATAGTTTTGAATCTCAAAATTCCTATCCATTTCTCTTTACAGACACTTTATGACAGCGTATACCTGACTTTATACAATATTTGTTTTACCTCTCTACCTATTCTGATATATAGTCTGCTGGAACAGCATATAGATCCTCATGTACTGCAGAACAAACCCACTCTCTATCGGTAACAATTTTCCCTTACTAAATGTTGATAATATTTCTGTTTGTAAGTACTATATTATAGTTAACACTTTTTAATATTACCTTAAAAATAAGCAAATGATTTTATGACTAACACTCTACTAAGGACAGCACTTTTGTTGTTGTATGACTTGCATTCATCAGAACTAAAGAGAATTTAAACAATTTTTTCAATGTTTTTAGGAATGGACATTTTCAATTCTAGGAATTCATCTGCACTTAATGTCATAAACCAGTAGTATTCCATTTCATGTGCACAAAAGAAGTTAATTCAGTATTGGTTGTCTGTAGAATTCCTTCCAAGGTAGTTCATATTCTGGCATTTTAAAAATTATGAGTGATAATCAGTGCAAAATACAGGTTTGAGGATATTAGCTCCTCTCCCAGATCTCCTGAGTCAATTTTGCTTCCCAGAACCAAGTAATCACAAAGATGAGGAACTATTCCTTAGGAACAACTTGTAGTTTCCACATTAGTGTGACCTCCACTCTTACAAAGGAATTTAATTATCCAAAAATATTGGTAACTTATTTTGATTTCCTAAGATACATAAACATGGACTTGACCCAAAATTGCTACATACTATTCTTCCCATAGTATTGATGAATTTGAAATCAGTTAGGAGCCACAATGCCACACCTAACTCAAATGACTCTGCTAACAGTAGGTAAGCATAGTACAGTGACTGAATGCTTACCCATAAGCATTGCAATGCAGATAAGTAAATTTATCTGAATGCTTACCCATAAGCATTACAATGCAGATAAATAAATTTTGCATAGTTAAACCGAAGTGTTATACCTACATTATAATTCTTTGTGATAGCAGTAGTTGGTAAATTCAGGTTTACACTTTCTGCTAATATTTTCAATTTTAAATTAAAAGTCCATTCTATTTTTTGATTATCAAATTGTAATAATTATTTAGCAAGAATATGAGTCCTTATACATTTCTTTTTCTCTTTTTAATTTACAGAGACATTAGTAAAAACCGTCAACTAAGCATTAAAACATTTCTTTATTGGACTATCCTGGGTTTCAGTCATGCCTTTATTTTCTTTTTTGGATCCTATTTTCTAATAGGTGAAGATATATCTCTGCTTGGAAATGGTCAGGTAAAAAAAAAATTTACAGATATTTTTAAATGGATGTAGTTTGGTTTTTGATAACTATCATTTAAAATTTCAACTTAAATTATAAATTCATATATTAAATTCAAATAGTTATAAAATTATCTTTAAACATTTTTACTTACTAAAATGTCACCCAATGAAAATAAAAAGGTAATTAATATAATTTTAACATGAAACTGAGGTTACTAGGCACTTATTCATGTTCCTGCATGTTGTTCACTTTAGAATTATGCTTTAATAATCGTTACTGTTTATTTACTGCTGTTATGCTAAGGGCCTTATATCCTCACAGTATCCTAATAGAAAGATATTATGACCTCCATTTTTCAGATGAGAAATGAGGACTTAGTATAGTTTTGCTTTTGTAATTGCAATATTATTTTTCTAGTATGCTTAGGAAGTGCTGCATCAGTGCACACTAGCAATTCGAGGATATTAAAAATTACTGTTTATGACCACTTTTCTGAAATGTGAAAATAGCAGAGTCCCAAACATGTTGCTACTTAGTCCTGATTGGAGTTGGAAGATTTTTGGCAGAATGAAGCCTTTCTTCCTAGGGTTAAGGAGACAAATTAGTAGCAGTGTTACTATGGTGAACTAGTTTCCCTTTTCCATTGGTAATACCTGAGTATGGTGAACTAATTTCCCTTTCCATTGGCAATACCTGAGTATGGCATCACATATTTGGAGACATGGAGATATCAGATTTGCAATTGGAGAATGTAAAATTTTATGTATTTGACAAGCACTTAATGATGACCAACTATTCCTATGTGTTGGAGGACAGGCCTCAACATGCTGTAAGGCAGGGTTTTTAGGTGGGATCTGGCATTGGTATACGGAGATTCCAAACAGGAGAAAAGGGGAGCCGGAACAAGGAAGACATGGGAGTCCAAGTTGGGTGCAAGTCTTCCTGCCCATCTTTTTGGCAGGTCTTTATTTATACTGTTTAGCAAGTAGTTAATTACAATAATGCATAAGGTAAGTTAATAAGAAATCACCAGAAAAGTTCTCAAAGTAGAGGGGAACAATGCATCCTCTTCCTGACACTTTATGGCATACTAGACTATACACATTTGTGATAACTTTCATGTATATGGATGTTTAAGTGAATTCAAAGGATAAGGGGTCCGGAAAGGATGAGCTGTTAGCAAAGGATTGTTAGGGTTCTTAGGGAAGGAATAAATTGTGTTAGCAAATCATCGGTGATTGTCTAAAGAGAAGCTAATGGCTAAATGAAAGCCAGCAGAGAGTAGCTAGTGATTGTTTCAGGAAAAGGTTAATTAAGACTAACCGAGAGTAGTTATGGATTGTTTAAAAAAAGGGTAAATAAATTAAGAGGAAGTCACATAGTCATGCACTAAGCAAACCTGTGTCAATAATGTTAGGAAATTGTCCATGAGTCCTTATGCACTGGGAGTTTTATCAGAAGTTTCCTTTTTATTCAAAAGACTGAGGAAGCTTCCCAGCAGTCTTTATGCCCTGGGGGTCTTATCTCTCTTGGAGCTTGTCTTTTGTCAGAGGAATTTGCCTTTTGTCAGAGAAATTTCCTGCTTTGGGGTGGCTGTACTTTGCCCCTGCCCTGGCTAGGTAGCCAATTTTTGAAGCTAAGGCAATCCAGTTGCAAGATGATAGTTGCTCAGAATATTTTTGATATTATGATTATACAAAAAAGGTAGGTTGTAACATAAGTTAGCAATGAAAATTTAGATTTTTCAGAGCTTTTCCCTTCCATCCAGAATTTGTCAGTCGGCAGAAGTTGCATAGCTTGTGTCACCTGTGTACATTCAAGTCTTTTATCCATTTTGAGTTGTATTTTGTGTATGGTGTGAGATTGTGGTCTAGTTTCATTTTTTGTATGCAGCTGTACAGTTTTTCCAACATCATTTATTGAAGAGCCTATTTTATTCCAGTGTATGTTTTGGCTTCTTTGTCATAAATTAACATATAATGTTAACTATATGTTGACATTAACTTATAATGAACCTACTGTGGATTTATTTCTGGGCTCTCATTTCTTTTCCATTGGTCTGTATATCTGTATTTGTTTCAGTTCAAGATGTTTTAATTATTGTGGCTTTATAATTCAGCTCCAAGGTCTGGAAGTTTGGTACCTCCACTCTCTTTCTCCTTTGAGAAGATTGCTTTTGCTATTCAGGGTCTTTTGTGATTCCATGTGAATTTCAGTAATATTTGCTCTAGTTTCTTTGAAATATGCCACTGATATTTTAATTGGGATTGCATTGAATCTGTATACTGCTTTAGGTAGGATGGCCATTTTGACAAAGCAAAACTTTTATCCATTAAACAATTATTCTCCATATTCCCCTCTTCCCATCTTTTGGTAATTACCATTCTACATTGTGTTCCTATGAATTTAATTACCCATGTGATATTATTTTAAGAGGTACATAATTGTGATTTAAGCACCAATAATAAAAATGTTAAGTATACTATAAAGTAGGTACTAAGAATAAATGACTTTTTTAAGAATTATCTCCTCTCTTCATCTGTACACAGTAAAGTCATCTCCAGGTACATTAACAGTGTTGTAATTCACATTTTTGTCATTTTTTAAAGTATCTTATGTTGTTTTTCTGAAGTCTCAGGAGATTTTCAGAGAAGAAGCTATTTAAAGTTATTTTTTAAAACAAGAAAGGTGAACTGCTACTTAAGAGTATAGTCAAGGAAAGAAGGTAACAAGAAAATGTGGAGGAGCAATTCAGATTTGAAAAGTTTAACTCATCTCCAAACTAAAGCAGACTTCCACCAAATATGAAAGGATCCTAGGAGAGTGTATTAAAGAGTAAAATACATTAATGATGGTAACAGAAAGGTGGAAAATGTTATATGGCAAGAGCAGAAAACTAAATGATATAGGAAGGAAAATAACAGAATAGTTACAGTGGAAACTGAGTTCATATCCCAGCACTCAATGATGTTTTGCTTTTCTGATTATTTCATCTAAAAGCTTCAAAAGAAAGAAGACAAGGGAGAAAAAGAATCCTTTTTTAACTCAGGAACTTAAGTACTGATATCTGTTTCACTCAGTGATTTGAAGCAAATTACATATGAGAGAACTACTGTTTGAAAGGATATCCATCCTAGTCAAAGATTTTGAAAATTTTACTTTTGTTTTACTGAAGTATACAGGAACTTAAAGGAGAACACCTGCCATTATTTATTTTCCTCATGGAATTATACTGTTTGTACAATGTTTGCTTTCTCCTCTCAGGTGTAGCCTCCATAGAATTCCCACCATCACTTCACCTGTGTACTACACCATATTCCCTTGTGCTCTTCCCACCCTCATTTTCTCCCTGCAGAATATCTCTGATTTATAGTTATCTGTTTATTTTTGTTTTGTTGTGTTTGTTTTTTCTTTGATCCCTTATTTGTTCCCCTATTAATGAAGCCACATCCTCAACAACATTTTTTGTGCCATTCTTACTGATACAAGATTGGTATTTCATTGTGGTTCTGATTTGCATTTCCTCTTCTGCCCAAGAATGGATTGTTTACTTTGTTTTGTAGATCTTTGTGATCAGTCCCTTAACACTTTTATGAAGTACAAAAATTTTCTTCCAGTCAGTAGGGCATCTCTTTATTTTTATTAATGTCTCTTTTGCTGTACAGAATCTTTTTAGTTTGGTATAGTTTATTTTTAAGTTGATTTTAAATTGATTTTTGTGCATCTAAAATGACTGTTGTGGTCTAGTTTCATTCTTTTGTTTATGGAGGTCCAGTTTTCCCAGCACCATTTATTGAACAAATTGTCCTTGTTCCATTGCATAGTATTTGCTCCTTTGTTGAGAATTCGTTTTCCATATATGTACAACTTTATTTCTGGACATTCTATTAGGTTCCATTGGTCTGTATATTTGTTTTTGTTCCAATACCATACTTGATTGAACAAAACAGCCTTTTAAATAAAGATTATGACTATAAACTAAATTAACTTAAACTTTAAATTATATTCTTATTATTAAATATTGACATTCTTAGGGATTTTTTTTTAATGTTAATAAGTGTTGACTATTAAACCCTTGGGAATACTTTCAAATTGAAGAGTAATTACATTGGACATAATACTTTCTTTCAGGTAGTGATTTTATGTATGGATTTCTCTTTTCTTGTGCTGCCTATATTGGGTCCAGATATACAGTGTCTAAGTGGTCTGCTGTAACTTTTCATTGAAATGGTTTCAGAAAATAATTGTGATTGAACAGTTTTATCATTTTTGTTAAAGATTTTTTGTTTATGTGAACAAGAGCTGGGATGTGGGCCAGAGGTGCAGGGAGGGTGCAAGGATTCAGCAGGGACAGAATGGGCAGCAGAACAAATGGACTGAATGAAATACACTGCTGAGGGGAGCAGTGGGCAGGACAGAAGACATGGTCTGCTGTGCCGTGTGGGCCATTTCCCTAGCCAGGGATCCAACTCATGTTACAGTGGCTCTGTATAGCTTATAGTGCTGAGACTTAACCCCTTGTGCCACCAGGGAGGCCCTAGTTTTAATCATTTTACTGTGTGAACAGGTATGAGCAATCACCAAAATCTGTGTCATTCAAACTAAAAAAATTTGTGCCACACAATTTCAGGCCTATCTTTGGGTTTCCCAGTCTAATGATGATACCCAGAGGATCATTGTACAAAATAATAAAGATAATAATACTTTACAGTTTTTCTTTTTCATGCCACTTTAACTTCACTAATCTACTCACAGATTTCATTTGTAACTGGCTTATGCAAGTGATTTTTAATAAGAGCAAAGTTGTTTATTGCCTTACATTTTGTTAACATCATTTAATACATCATAGTTTATTCTTTCTGTTCAGATGTTTGGAAACTGGACATTTGGTACATTGGTCTTCACAGTCATGGTTGTAACAGTCACAGTAAAGGTATGATACAGAAATTAGAAGTTTGGACATATTTTGTGTCTATTAGCTATTTCCCTTTCTCTTTTTCAGTTATATACTATATAATTTCTTTGGTTGTTATTTAATAATTCACTTTACTTTTTATCATAAAATCCTTAGATTCATTTTGGGAAACCTCAGCCTATTTGTATTACATTATTATATATTATATGTAATTATATTATTATGATATAAACATTTTTTGATAAAGTTTCACCACATAATACTGATCTCTGAAATTTTACTTCTTTGTAGAGTATAACAACACAATTTATTTTTAGCCATGGAATTGAAAATGAAATACTTATGAAATTTCAGTGGTTCTTCCTCAGAAGAATAGTATTATAAATTTGAAGTTACTCAGTTTCATTCGAAGACCCTATTATTAGTATTTTTTTCCTGAGGGACTTACTCATAGGAATCTTAATGATAAGAAACTAACATATTCAATTTTATCTGAAAGAGTAAATGTATTATTTTTTGTTTTAATGATTTTTTATTTTACGTCTTTTTAGATGGCTTTGGAAACTCGTTTTTGGACCTGGGTCAACCATCTTGTTACTTGGGGATCTATTATATTCTATTTTGTATTTTCTTTGTTTTATGGAGGTATTCTTTGGTGAGTGAGTATATTGTATTTTGATTGTATTAACTCAGCCAGTATTTATTGTGCTAGATTATATTATAAACCAGTTGTGCGTGACATAATTTTGAGACACTATTTTGATAATTTACTTCCTTTAGTTTGTTTATTGATATGGAGTAACAAAGGACCTTAACAAGTACTGAGTAGCTACTGTGTTCTAGATGTTTTACATAAGGTATTAACATCACAATATTAATTAACATCACAATTGATTCACCACAAAGATTCAAAAAGAGCAAAACTAGGACTTAAAAGCCACTTGTTTTACTCCATAGTTATGTTCTTTACACTAACCCTATTATCTCTAAATTGTTTATTACATGAAAAGTCACAGAGGGGGCCTCACTGGTGGCACAAGGGCTTAAGTCTCAGCACTATGATGCTATTGCCAGCCAGTGAAGCATTTTGAGCAGCTTTGCCTGCTGCTCCCCTCAGAAAATATTTCAGTAGATCAACCTATTCCACTTCCCACTCTGTCTCTGTTAAATCCTCTCACATTCTGCACCTCTGGCTTATACCCCAGTTCTTACATGCATAAATAATAAAAAGGTCACAGAGAGCCATTTAATTTTCATGGATAAGTTAATTTATCTCAAAAGTAAATGGTGTTTTGCATCTTTATTGGTAAAATCAGATATTCAGGCACTCTAGCAGATTAAAAATTAGTATCTCTCCTGATTTTGTCCATTAGTAAGGAATGAACAACCAAAGTTTCTCTTCTTTAAAATTTACATTACAATTGCCTGTTGTGTTTTTGATCCCTGTATCAGGCAAAATGCCATGGGAACTAGGCAAAAATCTTAAGAGTCACAAAAAAAACTTCTATTTAGGATCATAAAATATGCTTATAAATGTTGTTTGTTTTAAACATTACTCTATTTCTACATTTCTTTGTCGATTTCCTGTTTTCTTTTACAGTGTTGAATTATAAAAATGCAGAGTTATCTTGACAATATTTGCTGCTTTGTTGAGCTAGTATTCATAAGTAGAACTTTTCAAACAATGATTTAGTAATGTTAGTTGCTTAGTAAAAAATATTTTGTGACTTACTTTCTTTTGCTTTTCCTTATCTCTTAAGTGTGTATTACTACAAAATTCTTTTGATGTCCTAACACTAGAATATCAGAGTTAATCTAATCTCCTATTTGCCACTTCCAAATAATGTAAACAGTAGATGTCATTGACAGTAATTGAATTGGATTTTATCTTTAACAACAAAAGTCTGATTATTAGTTATCTGATTACTTAAATTAATACTGGTTTAAAATTTTGAACATTTTCTTGCTGTCTTCCTAAAAGTGTAACCTTCAATTGTTCACATGTCCTGTTTAAGAAACTTTTATCAGTTTGTGCCTTTATTAAGCCAACTTTCTTTCCTGGCAGGCCATTTTTGGGCTCCCAGAATATGTACTTTGTATTTATTCAGCTCTTATCAAGTGGTTCTACTTGGTTTGCCATAATTCTCATGGTTGTTACATGTCTGTTTCTTGACATCGTGAAGAAAGTATTTGAACGACAACTCCATCCTACAAATACTGAAAAGGCACAGGTAAATACTTTTTTTATATAATACCTTTTATATTAGAGGTCTTTAACAATGAATAGCTATCATAATTTGCTTACAACAGAAATAGGAAATTATCCATTCCTGTGTCATGTACTTTGCAATATAGTAACCCTTTTTAAAGGTATTTCTTTTAATTTTTTGATTCCTGATAAATTACAGTTTAAAAATATTATATTGTGTTATTAATAGTACCCCAGGTTTTTATGTATAAAACTACAAGTTATGTCCAAATAATAATAATAAATACTTTAAATGTGATCACAGCATTCTACATATAGGACATATGTCAGATGCACATATGCTTAAATAGCCATGTCTTTCCAGTAATACTTTTTCAGGTTATATTATTTTCAACAAAAAAACAATTTTGAAATAGATTCTTTAAATAATTATTACAGAATGGATTTTTATAAAATATATTCTCTCACTAAGCATTTTTTAATTACTAGTAAGCTGTAGAAAATATTACCAGTAAGTTACATAGTGTTTAAGAATATGATTTATAGGGCCTGGTAGTTCTCAGTTCAAAACTTAGCTTTATCCCTGGTAGCTCTGTTTCCAATTATAATTTTAAAAGTCTACCTCTAAAGGTTGATAGAAATGCCATTACCTTTATAATGAGGTTTAAATGGAGTAATGTTCAGACATATACTACGTGCTCAAGAAATAGTAGCTATGTAGTTGAATGTGCCTGTTTTGTACAGGTCACTTGTATATGAGCTAGAAATGTATCTTACTTTTCCTATTAAATGTCAGGCTTACTAGTCATTTAGTTCAGTCTAGGTTAAGGTTTATGTTCATACTGCAAAGAGAATACCTAGTCTCTAATATCTAGTAAATTAGCCTTCCTAAACAGTATATTGGTTTTAATTTCAACTGATCGTAAAAACATTTAACTTTTATTTGCTTTAGTAAAGCAATACTAACACCATTAGTATTAATGGTTAGTATTTAACACCGTTGAAGCAGCATAGGCTTCTGGAACTTGACTAGTTTAATTAAAATACTATTTTAACCATTTATAAAATGCATATTAATAAAGTCACTTTCTTAAGCTTGATTTCTTCCTCTGTAAAATCAGAATATTAACTACTAACATACATGACTCTAGACATAATAATAAAAGATAATAATAAATATTATGTATTTATGTGGTGTATGTAATACGTACTTAGTAAAGACATAAGGATGATAGGGATGTTGTTCTGTATTGCAGATCTATAAATGGGGATGAAGAAATTTGCATAATCTGATCACCATGCATATATCTATATCATTTTGGACAAATGTTTGTAATATATTATTTAAATGTATATCAGAAACACTTGCCTACCTTATTTCTAATTTGCTGATATATTTACAGACAGCACTATTTTTAATATATTATCTGTTAGCCTTTTTCCAGGCCTTATTGAGACACATTTTTGTCCCCCACTTTTGTTCTATAGAAAGTTGTATTTCACCAAAATACAGTATTACATCACTTTGGTAACAACTCTTCATAAAAGTAATTAATCATTTATTTATAGTTATCCTTAGAAATTCTGCATCGTACAGAACATTCATGGACCTATGTATTTATAGTGATATCTAATGATAGTAAAAGGTGATATTTGCTTGTTACATTTTCTATAACTTCTTTTTAAAGGATTACATAGGAAATATTCAGTCTCTTAATACATACCATTTGACAAGAAAGTTAAAAATACTTTATATATATTTTGCTTCTTTTGCATTGATTTTGTAAAGTTGATTAAAAATCAACTTTATTTGTATGGTATGTGTGGTAAACCATTCATTATATCTGTGTGTAGAAGAACCCAATTTTCCCACTAAATTCATTTTTAAATGACTTGACCAGATGTTTGTTGTATCTGATCCAAAGAGCAAACTTTCCTTCTACTCAGAGAACTTCAAGCCTGATCATATGCTGGTTTGTTTTGTTTCTTTCCAGAAATAGTATATGGTCATTCAAATCCCATGTGTGATATTCCGTTGCTACAAGCAGTCTTTATTATTTTAGCTTTGTACTGTCACCTCTGATTTCAAGTAATAAAGAAATGGTTAGAAATTTGTCAGCTACTTCATTGCTTACCACAAGTAGCAAGAAAAATCATATCAAGAGAAAAGTTACCAGCATTCATTCAGAGCTTTGTTTTCTCCAGAATAACAATGTGATATTAAGAGTGAAGAATAAATTCTTCTGATGACAAGGGCAACAAATGTCGGTCATGTATATGTACCTACAAATGTCGGTCACGTATATGTTCCATGTATTAGATTTCCTACTCTGTAGGAAAAGATGTCTTTACAAAGCTTGTCCTCTGTCTCTTAGGTGATTAATACAGCTCACTGACTTGTATGTCCCATCCCTTTTCTGTCCAATTATAGATGTACTCCAACACAGTCGCTTTAAGTGACGAGTTCATCGCTCTGCAGCCATTGTCGAGGGCAAGGAATCAGCTGAGCAAACTTAGGTAGAGTAGGAGGAGTAGAACCTCATTAACTCTTCTGCATGCTAAAGGTCAATTTAATTATTCAAAAGATGGGCAGATGCATGAATTAAAGGTGGGGCACAGCTCTGTCTCTAATTTGACCTTTATTAATGTCTATGTCAAAACCTAAAAAATATATGTATTTCTTCTTTTAGAAGAAAATTCAGATGAAAATTCAACATAACAGGACAGAGATCTGTACCTTGTTATATATTTTATACCTTAACTACTTTTCCTAGCATAATTCAAATGCTTCTGCTTGTCATATGCTTATTTAAGAATGATTCTGCATGTTGAGTAATTTAAGCTTCAGAAATTCATCATAAAAAATTCATCATTTAAAATTTTAAGTGGCAGTTACTTGGAAATGAGAGTTGCCCATTTTTTAATCTTTCTTTAATCTATGTTGTAAATATATGTGCATATTTGTCTTTGTACACTGTAATGGCTGCTGAAGCATTTCATATCCTTGCTACTGTTTAGTGCATCTAATATTATGCAGTTTATTTTCTGTCTCTTCTATATACCTTTATCTTCACATGCAGATCCATGCTGTCAGTTTCCACAAAAAAAAGGCCAGTAGTTTAGAGATGACTTTCAGTAGAAGAGAATGAAAGCTTAAATCCCAGAACATCTGATAATTAAGATGCTAAAATTATATATTAACTTTATCTCCAGTCTAGTTTGAAGAAGAAAATACAACTACAATATTTGTTTTAATTTTGCCACTCTTCTGCTTTTTGCCCTACCAGCGCCTTGTGGATTCTTAATTATTTGTATTTTTTTAATTCTTTTTTTTAATGTCAGGGTGTCTGATCTGTCTGCATTCACTTTATTAAATGAATGGCTTTGAAAAAGCACTGATTAAATAACCTATCATATAATATGAATTCATAATTTTGAACTGTTGTAAAGCTTTACCAAATCTTTTGATTAACATCAAAAATTTTTAAATATTCTACTTTGAATCACAAATCTATCATATTTATGTCTGATTATATAGATGGGTATCTAAGTGGTAGTTAATTACATATTTAACACAAACCTAAAATTAAAACAAACTTAAACATTTGCCTTCATCTTGGTTAAGCGTCCTATATATATAGATATGTGTCACCTGTTATCCTTTCTAAAAACAGTGGGTATTTATCAAATTTTTGAATCTCAAAACAGTTAGGAGAGCTCATTATTTAAAATAATATTCTAGCAAACTCCTGTCAAGTAAAGATAACTTTAGCAATGATAAAATCATTTTTATGATATCATATTTTCACAGATGTTGACTTAAGTCACATTTTTGGAGCAAAAATAGAGTAAAAAACAGTACGGAAAGGGGATTATAAATTAAAGAGATCCGTAATATAATAAAATAGTAAATTTAATATTCATCTATGGAGGAACACAGGTAGTCTTTGTTGCAAGTGACCTGCCCATCCTGTGGCAAAACAAAGGGAGAAGAGCCTCTCTGGGGAGGCAGTGGGCCAACGCTCATGTGCCTTAGCACTGCCCAAGTCAGCACACTTCTTTGGGCTGGGGTTCTTCACCTCTCAGATGACAGTTTTGTATACTGCATCTATTTACTTACTGTCACCATCAGAGAAAAACAAAAAGAAGAAAATAATATTCAACCAAAGTTCCAGACAGAAATAACAGTTACTCCTTTGAGCAGTGAATGACCTGGATGGGCATTTGCTCACAGCTACATGAAGATCAGGTGCCTGCATTCTCTCTCTGCTGTTAACATCCTGTGAATTTTTAATATATCTTGTCTTTTAATTGCATTGAAGAGTATTCCTGAGGGTAATGAATGTATGGTAGTGAGTTTATTTTTGTGACAGAGAAGAAAGTTACAGAGATCAGATATCTTTAAAAACTTCATATTTTTAATCATATTTCTAAAGAACTATTAACACAATTGATGATTTTCTTTTGGGGAACAAAAAGAAAACATTTTCAGTACTCTCCCTTCCCTCATAGCATAAGTAAATCTGTATGTTAATAATAAGCTACTTTTATGTAAGCTTACTGTACTCTTAAAAAGGTAATTTTACCACTTTTTGTTTTATATATGTAAGACTTCAGTCCTAAGGCTGAAAATAGGTAAAATGAGGAAATCTGTGTTTTTTATTCACTGGGGATATTTTCTTACTTAAAAAAGGTTAAAATTAGTAAGGTTATTGGGAACATTTTTTTTTAAAGATTTATTCATTTATTCACATAGAACTGGGGTACAGGCCAGAGATGCGGAGGGTGAGAGGATTCACCAGGGACAGAGTGGGGAGCAGAACAGGCAGATCTACGAAGCACACCGCTGAGGGGAGCAGCGGCAGGTCAGGAGAGGTCTGCCCCACCATGGGGCCACACCCCACCCCACCCCACCCCGGGGCAGGCAGGAATCGAACTCATGTGGAAGCGGCCTAAGCCTAGCAGGAGACGACTTTAACCCACCGCACCACCAGGGAGGGCCCGGGAACATTTTTTAACTTC